AAAAAAAAAAAAAAAAAAAAAAAAAAAAAAAAAAAAACTCGGGGCCCTCCAGCGCTAAGGTGGTGGGGGGAGGTGTCGGCTTCGTATCCACGGACCCCCTTCAAAAATCCTGGATCCACCCCTGGTATCCAAATGTATCCAAACGGCTTTTCAACCTGCACTGAACTTCATTACGCGACGAACGAAAACTGCAATCCATTACCATATCTCGCAAATGCAGCTTTTGCCAGTCATGTCATTCTCATCAAACACATAAAAAGATACTGATAAGAATAAAATTAATAAGTAAAAACAAATAAATAAAGAACAAATAAGAAAATAAATAATGATAACAGTATAAATAAATAATCAATAAACGAAAGAAACGAAGAAGAAAGATTATCGACTGCCTACCTTCACGTACCACTATAGCCTTATTTAGAAAATAGCAGCGCATGTTAATTGCCATCTGTTTTTTTTATTTTAGTTCTTCTATCCAACTGTTAAAGAACCCCCAGCTTACACAACTTTAAATCTGGTTGGTGTCAGCGACAATGTGTTCTGTTTCTCCGAAGATCAGAAGAAATTGAAGGACCTGAATGTTGAAAAAATTAAAGATGGCCAACTCCCCTCAAATCACGCAAAGGTAAGTATGTAGTAAATGATTTCAATGAGCTTATATTTGTGGAGACGCTAAAATAGTCCCGTTTTCCTGCGTTAGCGTTATTATTGTTTGAAAATGAAAAATATGGAATTTTTTCGTTTATTACAGATAGTTGTTTTAGGAGATCCTAGAGTTGGAAAAACTAGCCTGTTAAGGCGTCTTCTGGGTCAAAGCTTTCGAGATGACGAGCAAAGCACTCCTGGCTTGGACACGAAGTATGTCGAGGGGAAAAAGGCATATGAATCCTTCGAAGAGGTTGACCGCGGTGATTCAATCGACAGAGACACACAGGAAAGTGCCTCGTACTTGGTTGCCAAAGAGCTGATCCCACATCCTCCTGTCTGTGCAACAGCCAGTGGTTTGAAACATATCAATGCACAGGATTTTGGAGCGTGTTATGTGATAGCACATGTTTCAAAGCTGTTGGTCATGACAATTCCTTCTGTTGTCCTTTTTTCACTGCACAATGTCTTGGGGTTTCCACTGATATTTAGTTGCGTTTGGTTTTCGGCCTGGGTCATTGGCTTGCTCGACACTAAAAATAATTTCGTTAGTGTCATTGATGCAAGCGCCGTTGGCATGACAATGGTCAACTTTTTGATTCGCAAAAATCCTCTTGCTGAATGCTTTGATTGGTTGAAAGATACAGACATCTGCTGCATAAGAGGCAATTTTTCTTCATCACATTGGGTGTTTCTTTGTGATATAATTCACCGGGTTGGATATATTACTCCGGAACACTTCTTTTCCGGAATAATTTGTAGTTTTGGTCATTTGTTGGTGGTTGTACTGGCCGGTTGGACCATTGGTTTCGTTCTTGGATTGCGGATTCGAAAGTGGATCGTTTTCCCGGCATTCTTAATAATGCTGCCTTCCGTAAAATCCAACGAACAACATTTCAGCGTTACGCATTTAGCGTTTTTGGCAGTGCATTTTTCTTATGTCCTTGGAGTTAGTATTGGGGTTGGTATTACGTCCAGAAACTACATGCTGTCAAAAACGAACGCTCTGAAAGAGTTCCCCCGAAACATGGCACTTCATGTAGTAACTTTGACTCTATTTATTTTTCTGATGCCTATTGCTCTGAGTGAGTACAAAGAACACTTTTTCTGTCAAGTTACACTGTCTGGGGGCTTTGGGATAGTATTTGGATTAATGTATGCTCTAGCCAGTCACAGCTGCCGAAACCTAAAAAGTTTCTTGTTTCAAAATTCAGGAATATACAGCTTTTTTATCGGTGTAATGGCTTGTCCTCTTTACTTGCATTCCATTGGCTGGACAGTTGTGGATCTATCTGTTCTGGCTGAGCAACCATTTTGGCTTCGTTTGATTTTTGTGATCTCTCCACTCATAAGACTTGGTATTGAAATCCGGAGAAAGTTTGTGCTCAAGACGTTTGATGCGTGCGGAGTCGATTTGATTTCTATCTCTCGACATATGTCCAGAATAAACTTGAACCTTGCGTCTTTGCCCACTTTCTTAAATATTTTAGATTTTGCTGGTCAGGAGAAATATCGTTCGTGGCATCATCTTTTTATGTCCAAACATGGCATTTATTTGTTGGTTTTCAATTTGGCTCATGTGGTCGAATCCCCGGAAGCCCCTGAACGTCAGCTGAAAGATCTTGAATACTGGCTTAACTCCATTTTTGCGCACACCTCTCATCCAGATTCTGTTATCCTCCTGGTCGGTACACACGCCAGAAGTTTTGATAAATCTCTAGAAAACCGGGTTAAAGAGTTTGAAACAATACTGAAACGTAGAATTTTATCAAACCCAAAGTACGAAAAGAGGCTGTACACATGTGATTTTCCGTTCTTTCGAGTCGATAATAAAGTAGACGAAAATCGTGCATTCAAACCTCTACGCGATGCAATTAAAATCAGTGTGCGAGAAGCAGAATTCATGACCGCCATATATCCCATTGCTTGGAGAAGCGCGCTAGTTTACTTTTCAAGATGGTGCAACGAAGGGAATTTTTTCATAAGAAAGACCGAAGCAAAGAATAATTTCAATCAAAATTACCCCTGGTTGAAGGAGGGCGATTTTGAACGAATGATTGACCTTGCAGACAGTCAAGGTCATGTCATATATCGACCGAAAAATGGCGTGCTCTCTGATATAATTGTTCTCAATCCAGATATTTTGATTGCAGTGTTCACCCTTCTGTCTTCGATCGATATCAAAGACGTAGAGACAGATCCAAAAATGCGAAAACACAAGAAGGAAGCACGCGACCTCGTAGAAAAGGGCATTTTGGATGAAAATTTGTTTGTGTATATTGCAAAAAGAGCCCTTGAAAAATACTTAGGTCCCATCTCAGACCCACATAAGATGAGTCAAAATCTCGCAGTCCTAAAAGAACTACTTATAGCCTTTGACTTCATTTGTCCAATACAAAAACAATTTGATAGTTGCTTTCTAGTTCCTTCTCTCTTACCGTCAGAAGCTTGTGCAGTTTGGAACGAGGAAGAGTGTCATGTGTTCTATCTGGATTTTAGATCATTTGCTGTTACCCCTGTCTTTGACCGTTTGCTTGCCAAATGCCTTTGTTCTCAAAATTTTTCTGGGCACGAATACAGCAGGAGGCCATCTGTGTTTAGGGGATGTGGCATTTTCTGTTCTCTTGACGGTTGTCATTTTAAAATTCAGGCCCGCTGCCGAATACCCCAGCAAAACCTTATCAAAATTTCTTTGGAGAAACAATATGATGCCATTGAAATTCTGAAGTTTTTGCACAGGGAAGTGGGTCAAATCTGTAAAAATGATTTCCCAAATGTTCACTTTATCTTGGGCTTCAAATGCCAGGTTTTGGGCTTTAGGCACAAGAATTTTGAGCAAGATTCACGTGAATGTCATATCATTCCACTTTGTGAACAACAGCAGGAGTTGTCATTTCCGGAAAACAGCACTTATGACTATTCTTGCGGCATCAGCAGACAGAGTAAAGTGTGGACTTTCAGCGAGAATGTGTTACAGGTTTGTACCTATATAACACTGTCAAAATTTGCAAGAGGCCCTGACGCATCGTATTCTTAAAGTTATAAAAGTACACTGTCGAATTACTATAAATCTGAGTGATTGTACCCGTCCCAGATGTTGGCTAATTTGCGTCGAAATTACATTGGTAGCATTATTGAAACGTTTTATTTAGCAAGCCGCTGCAAACATGGGACTCAAAGCAATAGTCAAGCAACCTACTGATGACGAAATGGGTTCGGAGTGTACTTTGTGTGAAGGCTGTGAAGTCACACACAGGAAGAGTGTCTCGGGTGGCGTCCAAGAAAGAGGTAAAAAGCGTGATGAAAAACATCTCAAAGTCAGCGATAAGTTTCTCAATAATGACATCCTAGCTTCAATTGTCTTCACATTTTTCTTGCGTCCACCAAATTGATAATATTGTTTAAATACATAGATAAAAATTGTGGATAAAGAGATGTGAAGTAAATGATGTGGATTAAAATTTCACAGCAGTGTTTTATAGAACTAATTACTTTTACCTTTTTTTTTCCAGAAATTTTGACTGATAAAATTTTGTACATATTAGCGACTGAGCACGTGGGAAGCACGTGGCATGATGTTGGAATGTGCCTTGGAATTCCCGCGGGAACCTTAGATCTTATTGAAAAGAATCAAGAATCTCCAAAGAAAAAGAAATTTGAAGTTTTCCGCCAATGGAAAATGTCATCTAACAAGCCAGAAAATATCAAACTTGCTGAATTAAAAAAAGCTTTCTGCGACTGTAATAGGCAGGACCTTGTGACGGCACTTGAAGAATTGATAAGGAGGGAGGCCATTGGAGGAAAGTCACACATCCAGTGAGCTGAGGCCACTTTCTGACGTTATTATAATGAGTGATAATTAATATACATGCATGTATGAGGAGTATATACATATATAATGTATAGATACTATTACATTGTTTGTCCTGTTTGGAATTTTTTTATATTCTGCTGGGACTTGATTGTGTGGAAGTTGAAGAAAACTAATTGCTGATAAATGCTGAAATTATCATCTTTAGTAAAATAACAGTATTGTTTCAATAATTGACGCTTTTCACCACCGCAATCTCATTTGAAAATACTAGGGGTAGGTATCAATAAAATATCTATACTTCGTATAGCTAAGATATAATAGAAATAAAAGTATATAACTGTTTTTTTCACCAATGTTATGTACAGCAATTTACGAGTTGATAAGTTGATAGAAAAAAATTAGTTTCATTATCAATATACATTTATTTACTTGTGGACAATTGGCATTGATGTTTGATTATTTTTAATTGACTGTGGCAGGTTTACTTTAGATGTGGGATTATCACATGTAGTATGTTTTGTAAAATGGGGACAAATGTAGGTATACGACGTACAAATGCAGCCCGACAGAGTCCACATTTCTGCATTTCTTGTTTAGACAATGGAAATGGTTTTCTTGGAATGGCTGTCAAGCACTGATCAAATATAATAAACTTCCGAACGTTTAATAAATGATCTCCAGTGGTCTGCAAACGCATCTCATCAGCCATGATTTAAAAAAAAAAAGACTCATGACTGGTAAGCACAGTCAACCGTTACCAAGAACGGGAAGATGCAATAATTTTATGTCACTTTGGTTGCTAGTGTTGAGTCAACACTTCTGTGATTTCAGGAAATGACCGGTGTAACGTGACAGAGAGTCCCAAATGATAGAGAGTCCGATTCCCATTCATTCGTGCGGGTAAGCCTCGCCCTATATTTTGGCCCCCTTAGGCCAGGCTAACCCTAATAATATTGTTACTAAATGGAGGGCTGAGTTTCTGTTTTACGGACCCTGTTTCGTTACACCGGTTCAGTCAAAATCGAAATGGGATCATGTCAATATTCCCCGCACCGATATTCCTTCCTACTAAATGTTTGCATTATATGCATCGATAAGCCCCATACCAATAGATCCCCGCCATTGATACATCCCTGTAAAATTACCATTATACGCGCACCGTTACTCCCCCGCATCGATACTCCCCCGAATCATTGCTTCCCTGCATGTTTGGCTTTACGGCCAACTCTGCTTAACGCCTATGCCCAAGTTGTCCGAAAGCTAAATATTTTAGCTTGTGTTTTATAAGTATCAAATATGATCCAACTACTTATACCAAGCCAATAAACATTGTTGCTCAAGGATGTAATTGTTCAGGAAATTTGCCCACTTTTTGACGCAAGCACAGCACTTCCTACAAAGTGAAAAAGGCAATCTTTCACAAGAGTCACAAATGAACAGTGATTTGCTACTATATTACAGTATTCATTCTAAGGTTGAAGCTAGTTCATGGTGAAATGAATGGCTTGTTTTCAAATTAATAATATAGAAAGTGTGAATTGCTCCAGGTGCTTTGATATTCGGGATACAATACACCACAAATATGATCTCCAGTAATAAAAAGCACAGAGTCGAAAGTGGTTGCACCTCCACTGAGTTTTCATATACTGTATCTGCTATCCACTTTGTTATTTACAAATTCTGAATTTATTTATTCACTTGAAATTTACTCGAGAAATTTGAAAAGGAAAGAACCTCAAGGTTCATCAATCGCACCAAATATTTCCAATTTAGCCTTTTGGGAATCATTGATAACCTACTAGTACCTAAAATACTGTACAGAGCAAATGTCATTTGATACTGTAGACCTGTCAACCCAAAAAAAAAAGTGAACACTTCAGTGTGGGTTCATTTGATATGTGGGTTATTTTAAGCATCGGTATTTTCCTCACGTGACCAAAGGTACTATTTTTGTTATGGGACCACGCCCTTAACAGGTTTTAACAAACCAGTAGGCGAGAGATCCAAGGTTTCCGAAAATTTATAAGTCTCTGTTTTGGGAGTCGTGCCTTGTATTAAGAAGGTAAGGGTACTTGGTCGCACATTGTGATTCAGAAGATGATGGAGTTTAGACAAGATGTAGTTTTCTTGAACGAGCCACAGTTGGTGGAATAAATTGTAAAAAGGTTTAAATTTGGTAGACAAATTGAAACACCAAGGTATTAAAGAGATTTTACTTTAAGCTTAGATTACATTTGTCACGGGCGCCGTGCGATGAAATCATATACGATTGTCCCTTCGATTTTTTGACATCGTTAGGGGCTACGGGCTACGCCGAATACGTCTACATTACATACGGTTGCCGTGCCATTTCTCCAACATGACTTTGAAGTCAGGTCGTGAAAGATCCGTTTGTCGGTTGAAAAGCGATCATATACGGAGTCCTTTAAGCCACTGTTTAGTTGACGTACAGTATCCGTGCGGTTGCATTACTGTTTGATACATTGTCAGTGATCGTGATAATGGTTTAACCTTTTTGTTGGTCCTTTCCCTTCCTTATTTGGTGGTTCAGGAAGCATAAGGATATTTAAGATGTTTAAAATTAAATGTTAGTGAAACCAAGGAGTTGTACAACTCCTCAGTGTAATTCATTGCATAGATGTGAAATTGTAATTTTTCTAAATCTGACCACAAGGTTGAAACAAGGCAGCAAAGCTGTCAAATGTACAGACAAAAAGCAGGAAATAACTATGCACAAGATAGGCTACTGTCAATTCTGATGCAAAAGTACATTATGTTAAACTGCAAATTTAACATCAAATTTTAATTATGCTCAACAGGTAATACCAATGTAAGTAAAATGTGTAACAAGCATAAGGCTTCAGGCCCATGGGAGTTCAAGTTCACACTTTGAAAATGTATAACTTCCAGAAAAAGAAGCCAATTAGACTGCTTTTCCAACTCAGGCTGCATGCCGATTTTCGAACTTGACCTGCGTTTTAGTAAGATCGATTACTCCTGAGAGTTTCACGACAACAGGCCTAACGGTTTTCCTGGAAATGTGTTTACAGTGTTGCATATATGTTGAAAAGTGAAACAAAAAGCATAACTTCTACAATAATGGCCCGATCATCCTGATTTTCAAACTTGACCTGCGTTTTATGAATATTCATCAGCTCTATAAATATAAAGCCCAAAAGTAAAACTGCCTTCCACTTATCGTGTTTACAATGAAAGTGCAAGGCGACGGCATCGACGGCGATGACAGCGTCGACAGACACAGGTGATGGCAATATGTACAGACACATCCGTAATATTTACTGTACTGTTTAAGAACAGTAATTGACATGGTTTTTCTTAAATGTTCATCATGGGAGCAGTGCCCAAAATAGGTATTTTTCAAATTTTGATGCAATATTACATAATGTTTAACAGCATAATGACCATCAATTTTTAATAATAAAATATTAGTATCATGGATGTTCAGAAAATGTGACTAGCAAAGGTCTTCAGGCCCATGGAACTTCAAAGTCACAACTTGAAAATGCCAAAATGTAAACAAGACAGCACTGTTCTAAAATCTTTTTTTCCATTTTTAACAATTTCTAACATAAAACAAAATTAACAGTTTACTGCCATTTTTATATGATCAACTAAGAAAATTGATGAGATGGGAAAAACATCAATAGAGCAGTGTTAAATGTCCAATTTCTTCCATTCTGAGATTCTGAACATAGTGAATGATTGAATCTGACAAACTGCAATATGAGTTTTTTTTTCTATTTTTGAAACTTTATTACACAATACACGATAACAAGTTTACCATCATTTTTACAAAATCAACTAACAATGTTGTAAAGATGCAAGAAATGTCAAACAAACACTTTAACATATCTTATTAATTAAATAATGAAACTGTTAACATGCCTAAGAATTGAATTTGAGGAAATGTGACAAAACAGCATAACTTCTAAAATAATGGCCCGATTATGCTGATTTTTGAACCCAACCTGCGTTTCAGCAGGATTGACCACTCCTGTAAGTTGCATATATGCTGAAAAGTGAAAAAACAGCATAACTTCTACAATAATGGCCCGATCATGCTGATTTTCGAACTTGACCTGCG